TAAGTAGTGAGTGTCCAGTAGCGACAAGAGAGCAGGGAGTCGTGAGTCGTGAGTAGACAGCAGTGCGTAATGTGTAGTGAATAATGAATAGCGAATGGGGAAAAGTGGATGGTGAGTAGTAGAGAGTAGTGGGTAGTGAACAGTGCAGTGAATAGCGCGTACGGAGTACTGAGTAGTGAGTCGTGAGGAAGGCGTAGTGGTGAGTGGTGACTAGTGAGATAAGATGAAGGAGTCGCGAGCGCCTTGGGAGTAGTGGGTAAGGGTAAGTGAGTACTAAGAGTGAATATTGAGTAGTGATTCGTCAGTAGTGAGCGGTGGGTACAGAATAGTGAGCAGCGAGCAGCGAGTAGTGGGTATTGAGAAGTAAGTGGTGAATCTTGAGTAGTGAATAGTAGGGAGTAGGAGGTGGTGAAGAGTGCGTAGTGACTAGTAAGTTGTGAGTAGTGAGTTGCGAGTAGTGAGTACCGGTGTGCGACTAGTCAGTAATGAGTTGCGAGTTGTAAATAGAAGGTGGTGGCTCGTGAGTAGGGCGTACGAGTATTTAGTAGGAGTGTTCCGAGTTGTGAGCAATGAGTAGTGAACAGTGAGCGAGAAGTGAGTTGTGACTAGTGCGTCATTTATTGAACAGTGTGTAATGGTTAATGAGTAGTGAGTGGTGCGTAGTGAGTAGTGTGTAGTGACCGGGTTACGGTTTAGGGTAGGGCTTAAAGATTAGGGTTTGGGGTGATACGGGTTGGGTTCTGGTTGAGCCAGTGGGCGGCGTGGCGAAAAGGGAGGAGGGAGGGAGGTTCGAATTCCAAAAGAAGGGAAAGGGGGGAGGGTCCAGAGGGTGTCGTCGACGACGGACGGGGAAAGAAGGAAAATGGGTGGTGGGGTCCCCACGGCGGACCGGGAAGGGGGGGGAAGCTTCCCGACAACGGACTGGGGAAAGGGAGGGGGGGGGTCCGAACAATCCCCCGGACATCCATCGGGCCGCCCTCTCAATGAGTTAAACAAGGTTGGGAAATGTTGAGATAGTTTTATGGGTAACTGCCTTGGGAAATCAAGCTAAATCTTGATGCGCATTGGTAATAGTGGTGAATGTTGGCAAATGATGGCGCATGTCAAACTTAATCAACATTTACGCATGCAGGCGTTCAATATGTCTCAAGATGTGCCAACATTTGTTTGAAACATTATCGCCATCGATGTTGCTGGCGGATTGTTGGAATTGTCAACTGATGATGCGACTGTCATCCTCTAACCTTCCTGCCACCCAGTACCGCTGAATTAACGCCGCAGGCGCCGCCGCCGACAACGACAATAATGATGATGATGATGATGATGATGATGATGATGATGATGATGATGGTGTTGCTGGTGGTGATAATGATGATGACAGTGATGACGGAGATGACGACGACGATCTCGACAATATTGATGACGACGATGTCGACGATGTCGACGATGGCGATGACGACGATGTCGGCGATGTCGACGATGATGAGTGCTATGGTGACGCCGATGATGACGTTGACTATGACGACAACGATGACGACGACGAGTACGAAGGTGACGAAAGAGACGATGATGACAACGACGACGAGGGAAAGACGGGGACGACGACAACGACGCGGACGGCGAGGACGACGACCACGCAAACAATGACAAAGACGATGACGAGGATGCAGATGACGACGATGACGCGGATGACGCCGACAACGACGACGACGGCGACGACGGCGACGACAACGACGCTGACAGCGACAACGAGGACGACGGCGGCGACGTCGTCGACGATGACGGCGGCGACGATGATGATGATGCACGTGACGACGATCATGATGACGACGACCTTGCGACGACGATTTCGGCCACCAAAAAAATTCGCGCGCGCGCAAAAGGAAGACACGATTTCCCATGGTATCCGGGGGTCGTTGGAGGCTTTGCGGGATGTTCAGTGCTGGGAGTGGCACCGCTCAATTTCGAAGGCGCCCAGACTACGGCGGCGGTGCTGGGAAACCCCCGGAAGGTGCCAAGAGGCTCCTCCGAAACACCCAAGACGCCCCAAAAAGACCCCAGAGGCCGCCAAGAGGACCTCACGACGTTCCAAGGTACCCCCAGGGAAGCTCCAAAGGAAATCGGAAGAGACTCCGAGAGCCACCCATGCCTCTGCCCCTTTTGTTCGCCCGTCGCCTCATATTCTTCCTCCTCTGCCGTAGTTATCCGCCTATTCTTCCCCCTCCCTCCTTCCTCCTCCGCCTCCTCCGCCTCCTCCTCTCCATCCTCCTGGTTTTCCTCCCCCGCGTCATTCTCCCCTACCTTCTCCAAGTCCTCCTCCAACCCCCTATTCAGATAAACCGTCTTCTTTTGTCTTTTGCCTCTGCACACTTCCCTACTACAGCGATCAGGGCAATTCGTCTGGGCACCATTGGTGGACGGACTGGTGGGTTTTTTTTCTGTTGCCAGCCAAAGGCGAGCGCCCCGACGGGGAGTCAAGGTCCGAGCGGGCCGCGCGAGGGCCTAATTTACCTAGCAAAAGCAGGCCTACCACATCAACTCGAAACGGGACCAGGAGGTAGCCGAAGAGGGGGTAGAGCTGCAAGACTGCCAGGGTCTGCAAACGTGCAACGAGCTGCAGGCGCGCGGCTGACTGCCAGGATAACTGACGGCCAGGGTCTGCAAGCGGCCAGAGGTGAATTGGACTGCAAAGCGTGGACAGCCGCTGCAGCAGAGAGGCTGACTGGTGGGGATACTTTGTTTGGTTAGCGGCCACCAGACAAAGGTGAGGCGGCAAAGGCAACGTCCAGGCCACGAACGAGGCGAATACTGGTGGGGATATTTTTTTTTGTTCGGCGGCCCGCAAGGAAAAGTCCAGAGGGCGTGTCAGAAGGCAATGGGGCGCAATGCCAGATAATTAGGGAGGCCAGGCCACGAATGGAGGAAGCCGCCAAGAGGGCGCCAACCCCCACACGTGCAACATGCAGAACAGGGCAGCAAACCAAGAGTGACCGACTGTCCTAATAACAACAGCCGACCGGACCGGCAAGGGCAGACACTGCTCAGGACAAATTCGGCAGGAAGAAGAGGCGCAACATGTGGGGATACGCGAAGCGTCAACATGTCCCCAATAACTGAAACAAGAAATGCATATGCGACATACACCATGTGCGCTATGCATACTGCGCGTTGTGCGCTCAGTGGCTTCAATGTATCGCGTCATGTTTGCGTCAATCGTTTGTGTTGTCAGAACCCTCGCCCTGTGGTGTTGGCGCGTGCTGTTCGCTGCACACGCGTGAACTTACAATGTCGCTATGACCTGCCACCAATATTCGAACCTCCCATCCCAACAACCCTGGCGTCCCGTGTTTGGTTTAGGGGGGCAACTCGTTCAACCTCATCCTTAGTTTTTTTTTCCGGGGATGGTTTTTACAGTATGCCTCTCCCCCTACAACGCGTCGAAACTCGCCCTCCTGACCTAGACACGCTAAGAGCATGTTTAAACGCCTTTCGGGCTGGATGTGTTGTCGACCTGCAAGATGTCAAATACCATTGTTTCTTAATGTTGGCACACGCTCCGATTCGATCAGAACCACGCTATGTACAATGTGTCAGACAGTGTCAAGGATACCTCCCCAGTGAGAGATCCCTCAATGCACTGAACGAACCGATTGCGTGTTCTGATTACCGATGTAGCACGCGCCAACGTCGATGGGCAACCCCGCTGCGGGCACGCGCGAGAAGTGCCTGCTCGCTGCCCAGGCGAGGCTCTGCTTAACGCTTAGAGTTTAGAGCGGAGAAGCGCGTTACTGATGGCTGCAATCTGTTGCAGTTTTACCATTTTCTACAGCCGGCTACGCCGTTCAGAGTCAGCCCGCATGCGATCGCCAAAGGCCCGTTGCTCCTGGAGGAAGGCTTCAAAACGAGCTCGTTCCTGCCTGAACCTGTTGATCTCATTCTCGACAATATCATGGCCTCTCCGCTCGAAGTACGAGACTTGCTCTTGGTTTCCTGCTTCACGTGCTTCCTTCAAACGCATGTTGTTCTCCTCGATTAAACGTTCGAACTCCCCAGTGGAAGCCATGCCGCGCCCTGCTGCGGCGGACCCGACATAGATCCAGAGCGGAGTCGTGGAGCTGGGGACGCGGGCGCTGGAACGGCACGAGCCAGAGTGGCAACAGGAGCAACGAAGTAGAGACGAGTCTCACGCGAGATGGCATGGCGACCTTCCGCAGCGGCTCAGGCAAGCCGCCAGCGCTGCTCACTGCGCGGGGAACGAGGACGCTTACGCGCCACCTTACGCGGGAAGCTTGCGCGCGAATGGCGGTGAAGGCAAATCCATTTTTCTGCATCGGTCACACGGCAACAGGGCTCGATCTAGATAGTGCTTCCCCTGCTCCTTGCATTCGCTTTCCCTCGCTCTGTCTTTGTTCCACCTCTGCTGCGGTACCAAAAACCAAAAGGATAACAGCCCACGAGATCGCGAAAACACAGCTTCGCTCGAGCCCTGAATAGCAACGTTTGCTCTCTCCCCTGCGCGAGGCAGAGGCGTCAGCAATGAGAGGTCCCTCCGACCCTGAACTCGTACCTCCCTGAGCTCAGACGGCACGGCCGTCGGGAGGGTGGCAGCCGCAGATCAAACGTGGCCGGCGGAGCGCAAGGTGGCTGCCCCAAAGAATGGAGAGGCCGACTTGGCTGCCACGGAAGCCCCCTGCCAATCCCCCTCCCCTGTTCCCATTTCTGTCCTCCTCTGGCCACCCTCCCCGGTCTTGTCGGGGGGTCCCTGGCGAGCCGCGGAAGTTCCCGGTCGTGACAGGGGGCCAGAAACGCCCGAAAACCTCAGTGGTCGAACCTTAGTCGTCGAACCTCAGTCGTCGTCGTCGTCCGCCTCCTCCTCCTCCTCCGGCTCCTCCGGCTCCTCCTCCTCCTCCTCCTCGTCTGCGAGCTCCGGTGCCATTTCAGGCTCGGGCCAAGCGCGGTCCTCGAGGCGGCTCCCAGCGCTGCCCGGGGGGGCAGTCCGCTCACTCGTTCTCCTCGGTGCGGAGCCTGGAGAACCTGTGGGGGGGATGACAGGAAAAAGAGTCTCGCAGACCTCCAAAGCGTCTTACGCAACATGTCAAGGCGATGTGCAAAAAAAGGATGTGTGAGCTCTGGCTGCGTGGATCGCTAGGTGCTCGTATGCGGGACCTTCCAGGCGCCACCAGCTCCACTCATGCGTCGATGCTGCATCGAACGCCCGTCGACTCGAGTCGACCTAGAATCGAACTCGAGTCGAACTAGATTTGACCTTGAGTCAAACCAGAATCGAGCGGCTCCAACTGGTGGGCCTGTGGGAAGGATTCAGAAGCGAGCATCCGATCTCTGGGTCCAGGGACCCCCAGACACCGCCCACGCGATGGCAACCCCCCCCCGACCAGGGGCAGGGACCTCCGGGGAGGCTTGCTTGCGGCATGGGAGATGTCGACATGGGCGCGGTGGACGCACGCGAACGCAGCCACTGGTCATTGCACCGACCTTGCAAACGTGCTGCATCGGATTTTTGCATGAATTCCTGTCATCGCAGAATTCGGAAACGGTGAGTGAAAAAAGACTGTGAATGTTACGTGGATGTTTTGTAGTAGCCTTCGTTCCTGGCCAAAAACATCCGCACGAAATGCACGTCGAAGTCCAGAACGAAATTCTCCAGGACAGTCCAGGCCCATCTTACCATTCTCCGAACGAAGTCCGCTCTGCGATGTTGGCGCCATGGCCTTCGACGAAGCTCCCTGTCAAGCCACGAAGCGTGCGGGGCCTTTGGTGGAGCCTTGCGCGCGACGGCGCGGCGACCTTCCGCGATAGCCTCCGCGGGGCGCCGGCGCAGCGCGCTCGGCGCGGTGTGCGTGAGCGTGTGCGTGCGCGTGCGCGTGATCGTGTGCGTGCGTGCGCGTGTGCGTGCGCGCGTGCGCGCGCGTGCGCGCGCGCGTGCGCGCGCGCGTGTGTGCGCGCGTGCGTGCGAGAGTCCACCAGGGGGCGCTCACGGCGCGACCTCGCGCGGGCGGCCTGCGCGCACAGTGCGCCCGGAGAGGCGCGCGGCTCGGGCACGCGCGCTGGCACGGACTGGGGGCCCCGTGGGTCTGGCGCATGGGCGCCGGATCCCCGGATCGGGGAGAGCACCCGCGCGGCCTGCGCGCACGGCGCGCCAGTCGCTCGGGGAGGCGGGGAGAGGCGCACGGACCGGGCGCACGCTGGCACGGGCTGGGGGCCCCCGTGGGTCTGGCGCGTGGGCGCCGGGCCCACGGATCGGGGAGAGCCTCCCCCGCAGCAGGAAGCTGGTGCGGGCTGGTTTGGCGACGGAGCGCGTCGCTGCTCCACGCGCCTTGTGATCCATGCTGGCGCGTCCCCGAGCGAGGCGGGAAGGGACTGAAAAGATGGGTTGGGCCGCGCCAGCCCCCTCAGACCAGCTCTTGAAATTGGAAGGTACCTGAAGTAGACTGGAGCCTGGGAGTCCAACGGAGCATAAGAAGCTACTTTTTCCCACACTGAGGGTGCGCGTGGTGGACACCCTTTGACCACGCCGCTCGCCTGTTGGTGACGAACAGGCGGAGCTGGTCGGCGCGCTCCACGATCTCCTTCCTGGGGATGCTCTTTCGATGTCGGCCCGGCACAGCGATGAGAGGGCGCCTGGAACGCACCCAATCGTGACGTATTCCAGACAACCCATCCTCTGCTTTGCACCGCTGCTGTATGCACTCCACGGGATACTTTTCCTAGCGAACTTGTAAATTGCATCCTCCTCGTGTGCCAGACGTGCATTTCACTGAGCAAGTTCCGTCCTCTTCTTTGCGCCGATGTTGTGTGCGATCTCAACGGCGTATTTCTCGTTGTGCATGAGCAGCATCTCCTGGGCACGGGTGGATGGGAGGGAGGGAGGGGGGAGGCGGGGTACCTCGCTCAGGCTCCCCGTGGCCCTCCGACCGAATGCGGAGGGAGGTCGAGCAGGAAGACGCAACCGCAAAAGACTGCATGACGATCTCATCGAGGCGCATCGAGGATCTTCTGGTCGATGACGAGCCCCCTCCCCGCACCGCTTCCTCTCGAATGCTTCTGACCACCTTCCAAGACCGGCCGGGCCAGACCCGCCAGGCCACCCAGGAGTTTCCAGCTCCTCTTGAAACGTGTTGAAGGCCATCGTCCGCAGGATCGGGGGCGTCTCAGAGGGGCGCGTCCAAGAGAGGGGGGGGCGAGGACCTCCAGAGACCTCACTGCACCGACCTTGCAGACGTGCCGCAGCGGATTTTTGCGCGGATTGTCGTTGATCCACAGCCCCGAAACGGCGAGCGAATAACGACGTGAAATTGACGTGGAGTCTTTGTAGTCGTCATTCCTGGCCACAAGAAATCCGCACGAAATTCACTTCGAAATCCGAAACGAAATTCTCCAGGACACTCCGGGCCCATCCTTGCTACTGTTTTCCGAACGAAATCCGCTCTGCGATGTTGGCGCCATGAGGAGACCTCGAGGCCCCGTCCAGCATGGGGAAACGGAGGAGTCCAAGACCGAGAGAAGGCAGCTGCTCAGCCCCGCAACGCCTGCCCATAGCCATCGTGTGCCCCGAATGGTGGCGGCGTGCTGCTGCAATCTGCGGACCCTGAAACGAGCAGCAACAGCCGCAAGGAGCAGCAGGATGAGCAGTGGGATGAGCAGCAGGAACAGCGGCATGAGAGGAGAGGGAAGAGGACGGCGGGGGCGGGGAGGAGGGAGGAGGCGGGGATGGCGGAATCGCCAACTCCTCCTCCTCCTCCAAACCTTCTCAGAGCCCCCAAGAGTCCTCCTCCTCCGCCTCATCCTTCTCGTCACCCGCCCTGCTCCCGTCGCCCGCTGTCCAAATCAGAGAGGTTCTGCACCCGGAACTTGTAGAAGCCGTTCCTCAGACGGTACTTCGTCTTCTTGTCGGAGCCGTAGCCGATGCTGGGCATCTGGGTTGACCCTGGGCAGGCTTCCAGTCCCTAGGTCGCCTGACTGCGCGCATCGCGCCCCGCGATGCCCGATGATCTTCGCGCCCGCACGCCCTGTCTTGGAGAAGGGCAGCCGCTCTGGCCCGGACCTCGACACGCGAGGCAAGATCGTGTTCGCGCCCCTGGGGCTTTACCTGGTCCAGTTGGTGGCCTCCTCACTTCCCGCGGGGCAGGGCAGGGTGGGTGGGAAGGGGAGGGCCACAGCGATGCGTACCCTGTGCGGGAGCGTTCCTGGGCACTACCGGGGGATCTCCGCGCGAGTGCTCCAAGAAGCCAAGAGCACGCTGTTAGTGACTACCTACCAAACCACCCAAACCCAACCCGAAGACCCGAATTTCGGGTTGGGGGGGTACGAGCTTCATGTGTCTTTTCTCAACGTTCCCCGACCACCCCCAACTGGAAATGGAGGGCAAATTGGGGCCTTCGGGTTGGGTTGGGGTGGTTTGGTGGGCGGTGAGTTAGGGGCACGCACGTCCAATACGGCCCAAGATGGCCCCGAGGGCCGTCCTGGAGCACTCATTGGGCGCCTCTGTGGCCGCCCGGGAGGCCCCGGAGAGCGGCCCATGAGGCCCAAATCGTCGAAATCCATTGGCTGTTGTATGGGCTTCGCTTTACCGCCTTCTCGGTCTTCGAGGCACGCAGGCCCACCGAGGACAGAACAGGACATACTCGAGAAGAGCGTGATACCGGCGAAAACAACCATACAGACTTGTTCTAGGGCTATGGGGCTCTGGGGCTATAAGGCCACAAGGCAAGAAAGCTATGGGGCTATTGTGCTATCTGGGGCATATGGCGATTAGGGCTATAGGACTTTAGGGCTATAGGGCTATAGGGCGATAAGGCTATCAGGCTATAGGGGGGGCTATAAGTATGTTGTGTTATATGGGGCATAGGGCGATTCGGGCTATGGGGCTATAGGGCTACAAGGCTAGGGCTATTGGGCCACAGGGCACCTGGGCACCTGGGCACCCGGGCACCCCTGGGCTCCCGGTCACCCGGGCACCCGGGCCTGCCGCCGAAATCGGCGGCACACCTCACCTAACTATATGAATCCGTCAGGACCCCTACAGAGGCAAGCTCTGATTTGGGAATGATAGAACATTACCTCATAGAAGGCGATTGCAGACTGTTGAATGCAGCAACGACAAGTGTCATGAGCATCACGACAGAACGAAAACCTTGCAGAATCCGCCGGCCCTCTTGTGGGGCCATCAGGCTGCGAGGGTCGGCTTGCTGCTCCCTGCGCCAGTTGCAGTTTCCAGTGGCCAATATTAGTCCTGCTTTCTGCTTCCTACTGTACACTGTTGACTGTACACTGTTGAAGTCCGCGCGAGGGGGGGGGGAGCCAAATAGGGCCCGGCCAACCTCCCCGAATCGCGTTGTCTGAATTCCTGCGGGGCCGTGGGGCACGCAAGAATACGCGCGATTTGCGCTCCCGACGCAATAACACCTCGTAGGTAACACTGCACGCGCGTCCCCGAGGCCACGATCCCTAGCAAATTGCCCCGCATCTGCGCCCACGAAGCCACGATCCCTTGTAAAATACGCCGTGTGAGCGCCCCCGGGGTCACGATCTTTGTAAATTACGCCACAATTGCGCCCCCGAGGCCACGATCCTTTGCAAATCATGCGGGATTCGCGTCTCCGAAATCCCCGAGGCCGTCCACCCTCGCAAATTATACAATTCTTGCGCCCTCGAGGCAACAAACTATCAGAAATTAACAGAAAGTCTTGCGTCCCCGATGCAGCAGACCCTCGAAAACTACGTAATGTTCGCGCCCCCGAAGCCAGAATCGGTAGTAAATTATGCAATGTGCGCGTTCCCGAGGCCACAAACCCACGCAAATTGCTCAATGGTCGCGTCCCCGAAACCAGAATCACTTGCAAATTATACAATACTCGCGTCCCCGAGGACACAAACCATTGCAAATTGCTCAATTCGCGCGTCCCTGAGGCAACATACCTTTGTAAAATATTAGATGTTCACGTCCACGTGGCGATACACCCTCGCAAGTTAGGCCATATTCGTTCATTTTGCCGAGGCCAGGAGTGCTCCAAAACGCCCTAAGATGGTTCCAAGACGGCCCAAGAGGGTCCCAAGAGGCTCCAAGAGCGCTCCAAGAGGCCTCCCGAGAGAGCCCCAAGAGGCCAACATTGTCGATGTCACCAAAGGTTGTCGAAGGAGTTTGGAGTTCTCGCAGTTTCGGCTTCCCGAAGCTCCAAGATGGCTCAAGAAGGTCATGGGCCTCTGGTAGTGAATCCGCACCTTCCTGGGCAGGTTGGGGCTATCGGGCCCCCATCGGCGATCAATGGGCGATTGGGGGTCGAAGCATCCCCCCCTACGCCTATCCCCCCCCCTATTGCTGACCCCGAGGGGCGGGATGGGCGAGGGGAGACGCCCGAGGTTCGTCCGACGCTCGGGGTCCAGGACCCGGGCGCCCGGCCAGCGGTTCGGGGGGGGGGGGGGGCACGGCACGCCTCCCGGGCAATGTCGCGCCAGACGCCAGGTATACAGCATGCGCTCATAGAGCCTGGGGCTTCCTGTCCTCGTCCTCCGCCTCCGCCTCCTCCTCCTCCTCCTCCTCCTCCTCGTCTTCGTCCTCGTCCTCGTCCTCGTCCTCCTCCCCGTCCTCGTCCTCGACCTCGTCCTCCTCCTCCCTCCTCCCTCCTCCCTCCTCCCTCCTCCTCCTCCTCCTCCTCCTCCCTCCTCCCTCCTCCTCCCCCTCCCTCCTCCTCCCCTCCTCCCCCTCCTCCTCCTCCTCCTCCTCCTCCTCCTCCTCCTCCTCCTCCTCCTCCTCCTCCTCGTCCTCCTCCTCGTCCTCCTCCTCCCTCCTCCCCCTCCTCCTCCTCCTCCTCCTCCTCCTCCTCCTCCTCCTCCTCCTCCTCCTCCTCCTCCTCCTCCTGCGCGCGCCGCCCCGCAGGTGGGCCCGCGCCGGCGCTGCTCCCTGGGGCCCCCCCCCTCCCGACGCTGCCGCCGCGACCTCGGAGAAGCTCCGTGGGGCCGGGCACCGCTCGGCCACGCGCAAGAGCGACCCTGACTAGGAGTGATCCCCCCTCCTCCTCCCCCTCATCCTCCTCCTCCTTCTCCCTCCCCCCTCCTCCTCCTCCTCCTCCTCCTCCCTCCTCCCTCCCCCTTCTCCCTCCTCCTCCTCCTCCTCCTCCTCCTCCTCCTCCTCCTCCTCCTCCCTCTTCCTCCTCCCTGCGCAGGAGTGATCCCTCGGGGGCGTTCAAGAGGGGGGCGTCCAAGAGGAGGGGTCGCAAATCGTGGTCCGAGTCATGTGTGCAGCCTGGGGGGGGGGGCAGGAGACGTGTCGAGGTGAGAGGAGGAGCCATGACATCTGGGAAGATCTCAAGGCCCCCGCCATGAGATCCCCCCCCCCTAGTCATCACCCCCCTCCTGGCCGCCCCCGAACCCTACGCCACACAGGCTCCCGCTCGGGCCCACCCCGCAGCTCTCTCTTAGGGACACTGCGGAATGCTGGGGCGAACGGGCTGGCGGCCGCAGCGGCTCCTCCTCCTCCTCCTCCTCCTCCTCCTCCTCCTCCTTCTCCTCCTCCTCGTCCTCCTCCTCCTACTCCTCCTCGTCCTCGTCATCCGTCCTCGTCCTCGTCCTCGTCCTCCTCCTCCTCCTCCTCCTCCTCCTCCTCCTCCTCCTCCTCCTGTCGTCCTCCTCCTCCTCCTCCTCCTCCTCCTCCTCCTCCTCCTCCTCCTCCTGTCCTCCTCCTCCTCCTCCTCCTCCTCCTCCTCCTCCTCCTCCTCCTCCTCCTCCTCATCTTCTTACAAGCCGCGTAGTGCGTGCGACGGTAGGAGGCCTGCGTGCTGGGGCCTAGCCTCGCAGCGCTCCCCGAACGCCTCGCACCGAGGGCCACTCCAGCGAGGGGTGAGTCACTCCAACGCGCAGCTGGAGGCCTCCTAGATCAGGTCCGAGCAGGTGGGGTCGGAGGATCGCACCGCATCGCCAGTGCATCACCGAAGTCGGCGACGCATCGGCGCCGTCGGCGTGGGGACACACGGTCTCCACATCTAGCCGCACCGTCGATGCATCGGCGGTGGGGCGCGATCCTCCTACCCCATCTACTCGGACCCCATCTGGAAGGCCTAGAGTAGCCAACCCGCGCGGGCTCCCGCTCCCCGTTCGGGCCGCCCGGCGCACCCTTGAACTTCCTGCGGGGCGCTCTTTGGCACAACTATCTCCGCGCCGGGCGAGGCCAGGCGGCGCGCTTGGGGACGACGACGGCGTCGAAGACGACGACGGCGACGTCACTTCACAGGCTGAGGCTATCCGGGCTGATCTGGAGGCGTCGCAAAGGCTGGGCGGCAGGCCGAGGCATGCCCGAGGCAAGCCCTGAACATCCTGCGGGGCGCAAGGCGGCCCGAATCGGTGCGCGCAGCGCGGAGGGGGGGACCGCGGACCGCGGCGAGGGGGCGGGAAGAGCAGGAGGCGGAGTGGGGGAGAAGGGGGCCCTCGCTCGCGCATCCCTCGCCGAGCACTGCTGCGCTGCAGGCAAGGCGCAGACGTTCACATCAGGTCTGCCATCGGACGTCAGGGCCTCCAGCTCGGCGCAGCGAGGCTCGGCGGCGCGCCTGTTGTCGACGACGGAGAGGACGACGACGACGGCGGCGCCACTTCGGAGGCGACCTGGGCTGTTCTTGAGGCGTCGCAGAGGCTGGGCGACTGCCCGAAGTGTGCCCTGGGAGGTGTATAGGATCCGTTCTGACGGATGTTGGTCGGCTGGGGAGCGCGGGGGACAGCCTTCTGCGAAGTCGCACCAAACTGAACAGGCGCTTTCGCAGGTCAGCGTGGACCTTGGAAAGTTTATGTGTATGCCATATTGTTATCATTCGAAGGGGCCCAGTGCCCCCTCATACTCTGAAGGACAGGGGGGACTTTTTAGGAGCCCTCTCGCCTTCCTAAAAAGCGGGGGCGAAAGGGGGCGACGTCCGAGACTTCGACGGCTGCGCCCCCTGTCCGCACAATTTGAGGTTGGTTTGACGGAGGCCGCGCCTTCGTTCACCGCGTGCCGAGCGACTCGCTCATCATTTCAAAGCAGCTCAAACAACATGCGCTCCTTTGTCTCTGGGACACACTGGCGCTGCCCTTCGGATTTCCGATCTGCTGGACGCCACCTGTTCCTGCTCATGCACCCCCCGAGGATAGCGGCGGGCATAGGTGTGGCAGCGCGTCGCCATGCGGCATAGGAAAGCACGCAGAGGGGCAGGCCGAGGGGACGACGAGCGGGGCGACGACAAGAATGGGGAGGAGAGAAAGCAGCGAAAAGTGCAGCCAGAGCGAGAAGGTGGAGGATTTTCTCTCTCTTCCCCTGCCCCACCCCCCTCTCCCCGCCTCCGCCACGCTCCCCTCATACCCCTTCCCCGCCTCTGCAACTCCTCCCACGTCCCTCGTACCTTTTCCTCCCCATCCATCCCCTCCAGAGGTCACCCGGGTCCGCTAGAGGTAGCGAGGCATCCCCAAACCGTCTCGGAAGCCAGTGGAGGCCTGAAAAACAAATGGCCAGGAGCAGGAGGACGCGTGTTCACGCGTCCTCCTGCTCCTGGCCCGTATGGCCCATTCGGCGTCGTCGTCGTCGTCGGGCTTTCGCCATCGTGATCGTCCTCCTCCCCCTCCGCATCCACGTCATTACCCTTCTCGCCCTCGCCCTCCCCCCTTCAACCACACCTGCTCCTCATCAGCCACATCCTCTATTCCTCCCGCTCCTGCTCCTGCTCCTGCTCCTGCTCCTGCTCCTGCTCCTGCTCCTGCTCCTCCTCCTCCTCCTCCTCCTCCTCCTCCTCCTCCTCCACGACCTCCTCCTCGTCACTCCCTCATCCAGATCTTCCGGGGCATCCTCCCTCCCCTTCCTCCATCCCCCTCCCCCTCCCCTCCCCCTCCCCCCCCCTCCTCCTCCCTCCTCCTCCTCCTCCTCCTCCTCCTCCTCCTCCTCCTCCTCCTCCTCCCCTCCTCCTCCTCCTCCTCTCCTCCTCCTCCTCCTCCTCCTCCTCCTCCTCCTCCTCCTCCTCCTCCTCCTCCTCCTCCTCCTCCTCCTCCTCCTCCTCCTCCCCTCCTAGATCTCCTCATATCACTCCTCCTTCCTTCCCCCTCCTCATACGAATACTCCTCATCCACCTTGTTCGATTTCTCCTCGACGTGTTGCTCCTCATCCGGCACCTCTTCATCGCATTTCTCCTTTTATTGTCGCCTCCTCGTGTTCCGCGTCCTTCTCATCCTCTCCGCAGTGTTCCTCTTCCTCCTCCTCCTCCTCCTCCTCCTCCTCCTCCTCCTCCTCTCCTCCTCCTCCTGCTCCTGTTTCTCCTCCTCCTCGTCTCCTCCTCGCTTTCCTCCTCCCCCTCCTCCTCCTCCTGTTCCTCCTCCTCTTCCTCCTCCTTACTCTTCCTCCTCGTCCTCCTTTTCACCCTCCTCCTCATCCTCCCCGTCATGTTTCTCCTCATCCTCATCCGTCTCCTCCTCGGCCCTCGTCTTTCCCGCTTCCAACGCCATGCCAGGAATGCCTTCGAGCTCTCGATGCCGCTTCCAGGAGGCATCCTCGCCATGGATGCCCTCCAACATCTAGGTTGGGCCTGGTCCCGTCCCACCTGTCCTTTCTTGCTGTTTCCTCCTCTGTTTCTCCCGCCCCGTCCTGCCTCCTCCCTGCCCAGCGCGCTCTCGCCCGAGGCATCTCCACGATTTGCTCAAGCAGGGCCCCACAATGAGAACACCAGGGGATTTACCAGGACATTGCGCTCGCGCCTCAGCCCTGGCTACCTCCTACGTCGGCCCTGGGGCGTCCAGACCCCTCCCAGGGCACAACTTGACAGCAGAAGGGTAATGCATTGGCTCGTTTGGGTCTGACCCCTCCCTCCTCCCACTTCCCTCTCGGAGCCCCGAGTTTCGAGGATGTCTCAGGCGAATATGCCTACCACAAGATCGATTCAGATCACGAGAGTGTTCTAAGAACATAAACAGTGATCTTAGAACAGCAAGCCGATGTGTTAAAAGAGAGCGATATCAACAAGAAATGTCCTAACAACATCTCGTGCAGAGAATAGGAGGTTACTAGAGCATTCTTCGGCGGGCCTACAGGCGACAAGACGCCCCGCCACTGCTTTAACCTCGCGCGAAGCATCTCGGCGCCCAGAGTTGTAATGATGTCGCAAGCGAAACGCGCCGGACCACCCCGCGAGCAGCACGTCGGAGCCTAGAGATGCGAGATTGTCTCAGACGAAACGGGCTGGACCACCTTTCGCGCGGCGTCTTATAGGCCCAACATTGCAAAAATGTCTGCGGCGGAACGGGGCCAGACGACCTCGCGCACGGCATGCATCTCGGAGCACAGTTGCAATAATGCCTCAGGCTACACGGACCACACCACGGACTCTCGCGCGACATCTCGAACAACAGAGTTGCGAGAATGTCTCAGGCAAAATGCGCCAGACCACCTTTCTCGCGCGGCATCTCGGAGAACAGAGTTTCGAAGATGTCTCAAGCGAAACGGGCTGGACCACCTCGCGCGCGGCATTGCGCAGCCTAGAATTGCGAGGATGCGAGGATGTCTCAGGCGAAGCGGGCTGGACCACCTCGCGCGCGCGACATCTGGGAGCTCAGAGCTGCGAGGATATCTCAGGCGAAGCCCAGACACCTCCCTGGTTCGTTTGGGTCTGACCCCTTCTCCCTCCTCCTCCCTCTCGGAGCCCAGAGTTTCGAGGATGTCTCAGGCAAAACGCGCCAGACCACACCGCAAGCAGCATGTCGGACGTCTGAGGCGAAACGGGCCAGACCACCTCGCCTGCGGCGTCTTGGAGTCCAGAATTGTGAGGATGTCTGCTGCGAAACGGGCCGAACCACCTCGCGCGCGGCATCTCACAGTCCAGACTTGCGAGAATGTCTCAGGCGAAAGGGGCTGGACCACCTCGCGCGAGACGTCTGGGAGCTCAGAGCTGCGAGGATGTCTCAGGCGAAGCCCAGACACCTCCCAGAGCACAATTCGACAATAGAAATGTGACCAAACGGTTCGTTTGGGTCTGAACCCTCCTCCCTCCTCCATCTCGGAGCCCAGAGATTCGAGGATGTCAGGCGAAACGCGCAAGACCACCCCGCAAGCAGCATGTCGGAGCCCAACAACGCTAAGTTGTCTCAGGCGAGACGCGGCAGTCCGAACCACATCGGGCGCGGAGCCCAGCGTTGCCAGGATGTCTCAAACGAACTGGGCCAGACCACATCTCGCGCGGCATCTCGGAGCCCAAAGTTACGAGGATGTTTCAGGCGAAAGGAGCTGGGCCACTCGCGGGCGGCATCTCGGAGCCCGGGCGTGAGGATGTCTCAGGCGAAACGGGCTGAACCGCCTCGCGCGCGGCAGCTCGGAGATTAGTTGCGAGGATGTCTCAAGCGAAACGCGCCGGACCACCTCTCGCGCGGCATCTCGGAGCCTAAAGTTACGCGGATGTCTCAGGCGAGACGCGCCAGACCATCTCGCGCGGAGGCTAGAGGCTCAGAGTTGTGAGGATGTCTCAAACGAAACGCGCCAGACCATCTCGCGCGCGAAATTTCGGAGCTCCGATGTTCGAGGACGTCTCAAACGAAACGAAACGCCCATTCCTAGCCAACTCGGGAACGAGAGTTGGTCAGATATCGCGAAACGTCCCAGACCACACAATGTTTGAGGACGTCTCTGCTTTGGCCTCCCCTGGCCAGAACTAGCTTCTATCACATCAAAACCCCGTTCAGCAAGCTGTTTGGGGAATCAGGTAAGCATATGGTTTCGACCGCTAGTCCCTCCTCTCCATCACCACCACTAGGAGGACTAAGAGACACTCGGGCCAATAAATGCGCTCCTGCGCACACGGCCGTCGATGCCGACCGGCTTGCGCCAGCTCTGGTTCATCTTCTTGAAGCGGTCGGCCTTGGCAAAAGGGAGCAGCAGCAGTGGCGCCAGCGTCGACGAAGGGACGCAAGGGATAAGAGCACGCATAGGACGAGCCAACAACAACAAAGCAAAACAACTGGCTGGTGGACCCGGTGAGGGTCCACCAGCTCGCTGTTTCGCTCCTTGTGGCGAAACATCTCAAAGGTGGACCCAGACCCCCCCTCCCGGCAACGCAACGCAACGCAACGCAGCACAACATATGGTTGGCAACAGAAACCACAGGAAGCTGTTGGAAAATCCTCTGGAATCCTTCGGGATCCTTAAGAAAGCCGACGCATTCCCACGAGCTGAAAGTATGTGCGCTCCCCCGAGCCGAAACCTTTGGGCATGTTACAGAATTAGTAAGGGACGTTTTTGATCCCTAAGGGAAGGCTGCACAACCCTTGAGGGATGCTTTAGAATCCCTAACAGGGTGCTATAGAACCCCAACGAATGCTATAGAATCCCTGCGGGATGCTAAGGAATCCCTAAGGGATGCGATGGAATCCCTAAGGGATGCTATATATTCCCTAAGGCATGCCATACAATCCCTAAGGGATGTTATATAATCCTTAAAGGGATGCAAAATAATCCCTAAGAGGATGCAACATAATCATTCAGGGGATGCTATAGAATCCGTAAGGGTTGCTAGAGAAACCTCACGGGGTGCTATAACATCCCTCACGGATGCTATAAGATCCCTGAGGGGATGCTATATAATCCATAAGTGCTGCTATTGAATCCCGAAGAGATGCTATAGAACCCCTACGGGATGCTATAGAATACCTAAGGGATGCTATAAAATCCCCATGGGTCCTGGCGTGTTGCCCGGCGTCCCTCAGTGGCGTGCCCCAGAAGGGGGGAGGCGCATGCCCAAATGGCTTGAACCACTAATGAAGAGAGGGAGAGGAGCGTGCCCACGTCAGCCGTAAGGCCACCAGAGCCACGGGAGTCAAATCCGCCGCCGTGCCTCCTGCACGGCAGAGGCGTGCTAGAAGCTGGGCCGGCACGGGGACGAAAAGAGCTCCCAGTGGGGTCAGGGCCACGATCCTCGAGAGACGTGTGCCGAAATTATGTTTCGGTGGGGCTCCGTGTGGGGCCAGGCCCACGATCCTCGAGAGGGGTGTGCCGAAATGAAGCTTCGGTGGGCCTCCCTGTGGGGTCTGTGCCACGATCCTCGAGAGGGGTGTGCCGAAATGATGCTTCGGTGGAGCTCCCTGTGGGGCCAGGGCCGCGATCCTCGAGAGGGGTGGAGCTCCCTGTGGGACCAGGGCGACGATCCTCGAGAGGGGTGCGCCGAAATGAAGTTTCGGTGGAGCTCCCTGTGCGGCCAGGACCGCGATCCTCGAGAGGGGTGTGCCGAAATGAGGCGTGGGTGGAGCTCCCTGTGGGGCAAGGGCCACGATCATCCTTGAGGGGTGTGCCGACATGAAGCTTCGGAGAAACCCTCTGTGAGGCCAGGGCCACGATCCTCGAGAAGGGCGTGCCGGGATGAAACTTCGGAGGAGCTCCCTCTGAGGCCGGGGTCACGATTCTCGAGGGGGGTGTGCCGAAATTAATCTTCAGAGAAGCTCCATGTGAGGCCAGAGGCCCTATGGGATTCCTATAAGATTCCTAAGAATGACCCACATAGGATTCGTAAGAGCCCTACAGGCTTCCCGCAGGATTCTTATAGGATTCGTAAAGGCCCTGTAATTCCTATAGGACTCTTATAGGTTTCTTATAAGATTCGCAGAGGCCCTATAGGATGCCCATGATATTCTTACAGGATTCCTATAGGATTCGTAAGAGGCCCTCTAGGATTCCTGTAAGATTCCTATAGGACTCCTGGAACAGGATTCGCGTAGGCCGTGTAGGACACTTATAAAACATCATGTAGGATTCTTATGGGATTCGTAGAGGCCCTATAGGACTCCTATGGGCGTGCCTCTGTGGTTCCTATCAGATTCTTGTAGGAATCCTAGAAGGTTCGCAAAACCCCTATAGGAATCCGATGGGAGTCCTATAGGAATCGTATCAGATTCGCAGAGGCCCTCTAGGATTCCTATAGGTTTGTTATCGGATTTCTATAGGATTCGTACAGGCCGTATAGAATTAGTAAGGGATTCCGATCGGATTCCTATAGGTTTCGTAGAGGCCCTATAGGAGTCCTATGGGATTCCTACAGAAATCGGAGAAGCCCTATAGGATTCCCATCGGATTCCTGTAGGATTGCCATAGGATCCGTAAGAGGCTCTATCGGATTCCCATGGGATTCGCAGAGGCCCTGTAGGATTCCTGTCGAATTTCTATAAGATTCCTATCAGGTTCGCGGGGACCCTGTAGGATTCCCATAGGACTCCTATAGGATACGGGGTAACGTGCGTTGCGTTGCGTTGCGCCGGCGGGGGGGACGGGTTGGGGCCGGCGCCAGTGAGTGGTTTCGTCAACAACAACAACAACAGTTGACGACGACGACAACAACAAAGGACGGCCGGCTGTGTGAGCCCCTTCAAATGCGGCGAGCTTCCGCGTCGTTCCCCACGGGCGGTACGCCGGGTTTCTGACGCCCCCTCAGGGGTGAGGGGGGGGCATCGCACCAGCCTCCGGACTGGCCTCCGGTGGGAATTGATTCGATTGCCAGATCCCGTCAACGAGGCTAATGCGCCTGCAAGCGCCGAAACCTTTCAAGCCAGGTCGTCCCCACGCAAGCTCGGCATCTACTGATAGCTTCATGGAGTCCCTACTAAGGCACCCTTTACTGAAGCGTCCTTACTAAGGGATTTTAGTCAGGAATCCCTTCTGAGGAGCCCTTACTACATAGTCATTACTAAGAGACCAGAGTCAGGACATGACCGAGAAACCCTTACGACAGATTCCTTACTAAGAAAGCCTGGGCAAAATATACTTACCACGGGAATATCACTCAAGAGTCTGTACTAAGAGAACCTTGTGTAAAGAGACCCTCGTCAAAGAATATGAATCAATGATACTAACTGAGAAAACGGCTTCGTCAAGAGTGTATACTGAGAGGACGTTGCTGAAAAAGCCTTACTAAGAAGACCTCAGTACGTAATCCCATTTAGGGGCGTCTTACTGAAGCATCATTACTAAAAAACCTTAGTAAATAATCCGTAATGAAAATCCGTAATGAAAAAAACCTTCCTGCATAATACTTCCTCAAAGACACTCACTCAGGGCACAGTAACGAAGAATCCTTTCAAAAAGAACCTGACTGAACAATCCTTGCAAAAGGGCCATCGTGTTTTCCAAGGGAGCCTTGCTGAATAACCCTTACTAAGATAATCTGACATAAGGATCCCTACTAAGGGGGCGATGCTGAGGAATCCTTCCTGAGAACACCACACTAAAGAACCATTGCTGAAGAAACCTGACTGAAGAACCCTTACTGCGATATTCAGGATGAAGAGCCCCACGTAAGGGAACCTTGCTGAATAATCCGTACCAACGAACACTCACTGAACAATCGTTGCGAAGGTAAGCTTAGAAAATAATCCCACTTGAGGGAATCTTACTGACGACTTGCTACTAAAAGAACCTAGAAATGAACCCTTACACTGGAGAAACCTGACTAAAACAGTACGAGTAAGGAATCCATAATAAGGAAACGTTGCTGACCAATCCTTCCTGAGAGAATGATCGAAAGTAATCCGTACGAAGAAGCCTTTCTTGAAAATCCTGACTGCAACTGGAAAAAAAATCATAATCAGGGAAGCTTGCTGAAGACTCCTTTTCTGCGGGGGGATGTATGAATAATCCTTACGCAGAGAACCTTAGTAAAGATCCCTCGTTGAGGGACACGTAGCGAAAAACCCTTCATCAACATCATCGTCGTCCTCGTCATCGTCGTCATCATCATCATCATCATCACCAGCATCATCACCAACATCATCAGCATCATCGCTGTCGTCGCCATCACCATCATACCATTCATCGTCATAATCACCACCATCAGAATCACCACAATTATCACCAGCATAGTCACAGCAATTTTCAGCATCGCCTCCATACACACCGCTGTCATCATCATCACAATCATCAACATAATCAACAGCCGCAAACGCATCATCATCGTCATCATCATATGTACCACTATAAGAAACATCATCAACATAATCATCAGCATCGACATCGTCATCGAACTCGTCATAAACATCACCATCGTCGTCATCAACATCTTCACCATACCTACCCGTGCCACCGGAATCAACACCCTCATATCCACCATCATAAGCACACCATCACCATCATCATCGCCAAAGTAATACAATGACACTCGCAATCCGCATCAAGCATCAACAACGGCATCATCACCAACCTCGCCATCACAATCATAATCGTCGTCAGCATCAGCAACAGATGCACCGTCGTCATCATCGGCGTTACCATTATCATTACCGATTCTTCTGAACTAATCATCATCAAGACCACTATCAACATCATCGTCATCATCAGCATCACCATCATCAACAGCATCCTCAACATCACCACAATCATCAACAACATCAGCATTCGCATGTTCACCATCACCATCCTCGTCATCATAGTCGTGATCATCATCATCATCATCATCATAATCATCATCATCATCATCATCATCATCATCATCATCATCATCATTTTCATCATCATTTTCATCATCATTTTCATCATCAGTTTCATCATCATCATGGTCATCATCATCACCATAAACATCATCGTAGTAATCACCATCCTCACCACAATCATCACCAACATCAACAACAACAACACGGCTCAATATCACCAAGAGCATCATCAACATCACCACCGTCTCAAGCGAAGAATCATTACGGAAAAAAACAAGTGAACGAAAGACAGCTCGATTCTTGAGTACATTGCGAAGAACTAATTATCGAGCGAGAGCTCGACTCCTGAGTAAAGTGTGCGGAAGGCTTGGGCGAGAAGTCTAGGCGACACCTTGTAAGTTGCAGAGACATTGAAAGCGAGAGCGCGGTTCCTGGGCAAATCGCGAGGAA